AAATCCACAAAAATTACACATTAACTAAATTAAAAGAAATTCATTATAAAAGATTAATAAAAATCGATAACTTTTATCATTTATAATAAATCTTCGACTTTAATCTTTTCTTTAACAAATGGTAGAAGTTTGCTCTGCAGTTCTGGTGTGCCTCTTCAAAAACTGTAAGTGAGTGGTCCCTTTAAGTGTAAAACCATCAGACATAACATTTACATAAGTTCTTAAACAATTCCAAGAAATATGAAAATATGAAACTATCGAAGGACGATAAGAATTTTTTTGGTTATCTAACAGTTACTAGATTAGCTTTACATGAGTTTTTTTATTTCAATTTTTCTACGTTTGATTTAAAAGAAATCCCGAGCTCTTAGAATACAAATTAATGACGCAACAATAAAAAAAAGAACTTGAAGACTGATTAGCAAGGTGTGGTCACTGAGTAGCAATTATTTATTTTTCTGTTTATCAATCGAGCGAGTCGCTCGCTAATGGTAATGACAGCATCTACAGAAATAACTTAGATCAGCGCTCGGAATTAGTTGCACATTTCGGGCCAATTCAAGAGACGACGCCTCCTGTCCCCCCCACTACCGCCCGGCCGCTGGCGGTCGAGCCGCCGATAGCTCTGACGCAGGAGCGTTTTCTATAAGAAATAGGCTCGGTTGTTGAGGCACCTCTCCAAAAAATAGTAATATTTTCTTTGCTACATAAATAATGTTTATTTTCATTAATAATTAAATATATATATTATGTATTAATAAAAATAAACATTATTTATGTAGTGAAGAAAATGTTACGATTTCCTGAGAGATGCCTAAACAATCCAGCCTATTTCTAATATAAAACGCTCCTGAACCAGAGCTATCGGCGGCTCGGCCGCCAGCGGCCGGGCGGTAGTGGAGGGACAGGAGGCGTCGTCTCCAGAATCGGCCCGAAATGTGCAACTAATTCCGAGCGCTGTGCTATGTGAATAGAATATTAATACGTTTCCATTATCTATCGCCTCGCGCAGCAAGAAGCGACGGTCCTCGCGTTACGGTTCAATCTGTTACGCTTTCATATTCAGTAAACAATAAAATATCTCTCCTCTCTTTCTCTCTCTCATCCGCGTAAGTACTCTCACTTAACCTTTCCCATTTCATAAGAAATGTATTCGTTGCGCGAGGGTGACTGTTGGCCGCGCGATCGTACAAGCCGCAAATTATTCACAGTCATCTCACGTACGCGGGCGCGCTCGTCTCGTAAATAAGACTGCGAATTTTCGCGGCGGCTGATTTATCGTTTCGAAAACAGACTGAATCTTGCCGCCATAAATTAAAGAGCGGCGCTCGATCTCGGGTCGTCCAGCGGTCCAAGGACGCTTCTTATCCCTGTCGACTGTCTTGCGGTTTTTAACCGGCTCCCAGAGTCCGGGGTAAATTGATCTCATTGATAAATAGCGGAAGAAATAGTTTCGCCGTCTGGACATTTTTCTAAACGAATCAAGTTGCCGTTGATCGGGAAGTCGATTTATATAAAGCTCTCCACGAAAGAAATTTCATTCCGCATCGAGCGATTTGTCTTTTTTACATCATTCAAAACCGATGCTCCGAATTCTTCAAATTCAATGAAGTGTATGACAAATATTACTTCGAGAAAACTTCGGACCATTTCGTGGATCGATGTTACCGATATATTACCGGGGAAACATAAAAGTGTTTCGCGGTGAGCGAAAAATAGTGTGGAAGATATGATTAGAAATAAATAAACTTACCCCGCATTATTTTGATCGATCAGTGCTGAGAACAGATACGAATAATACGGCGAAATTTAATTGATACTCGTCGTAACGAGCAAACAGCTTACAATATTAAGGCACTGATGTGGAAGTAATTGATACTTATACAGATAATACTCCGGTACTTGGAGCAAGGGACGTATGAAATGATACTTACTCATACTCGGGAACGTATCGATTCCTGGCAAGCCGTTCCTCCTCTTGCTGCCTGTACTGCGAGGCCAGACGATGATCGCTCTTGCTTCTCATGAGGCCGGGCGAACCTCCGGGTGGAGCTAAACTGCTGGAGCTTCCTAGCAATCCACCGCTTCCGCTTTCCGGTTTAATGTTCAATTCGCCATAACCTGCCACGTGAAGGACAAGCTGATTCGGATCGTGCGCCATCACGAAGCGGACTCGCCGGCTGTAATCCCCGGCCTCGTATTCGAAGTTCCTACGAAGGACAATCGCTCGGCTTTATTCGAGGTACGACGAGGGGCTCGCTAATCGCATAAAGCAAATCTTACAGATGTAATAATAGCGCGGATAACAAAGTAAAATTGATAAAGTTATAATACAAGTCGAAATCTAATAATATGATTTTCGCCCACTATTTTATTGTACTATTAATTCGAAATCGAAACACTTTGTTAATATCAAGCGTGCGGCATTTCAATTTCAAAGGAGCATTTTTTTACCCTTACACGTGTCGATAAATGGAGAAACTGAAATTGCATTATTAACGGCATCGTCTGCACGATGCCGGGTGTATCTACTCGGCTGAGCTAGAATTTCGGCACGGCGGCGCGAGTTGCGGTTCCATTTAAATAATATACCGGAAAGAATTACGGTCGCAACTTCGCGTCCTGATTTAGTATACGTGAAATTTCTGCAGGACCGTAACGCGAGCTTTTAAAATTCATTGTAGCGTTATTCGAAATGTTAATTGCTAATGAAGCATATTATCTTGCCAGGATATTACGATTTTACAGCCATTTTCACGAGATTGGTTTACGCGCCCTTCGATACTTTGTCGTTACTTAACGCAATTATTATGCTTGAGTTAATGAGCGTATAATTTTGTTATGCGGCGCGATTTGCGTCTGTAATTTATGGCAGATTTTGCGCGTATTACATATTTCATAATGACGTGTGTGGTAACATTGAACGTTAATTACATTACGAAACTAACGCAGGATTTCCGCTGCATTCACAATACTATTAACACAAATCTCTACAGAAATTCGTGTCGTTAATGTCAATATCGATGTATTTATATTTGACAGCATTAAAATTATGATCAACTTTTTCGTTATTGCTCTAGAAATTTTCGATTGCGTATTACAGTTGAAAAGTATCTAAGAGATTAATAATGTTTCAATAACTATATTTTATAAATAAGAAATATTTAACTGTGTATAAATTTTGCTCGATAGTCAACACAAAATTGCAGTTTTATTTTATTTTTTTTTATTTAAACACAATTTCGGTAAGCAATTTCGTCGAAGAGAAAATAGTTGTGATGATTTTTGAAAATAACGTAGGCGCTATTAAATTTATCAAAAATAGGATTCAATCGATGAAAAGCGTTGACGAGATCCGAAAATAAAATAAAATAGCTCGCGAGAGACAAGGCCGTTTAATTTTACGATTTTTTCCCACGTCGTAAAAAAAGAGAAGCCGCAAATAGCGGATAATAAATCGCGTAAGGATCGCACGCGTGGATCCTGGCCGTGAACGGCCAGTTTAACGAGCGGCCAAAAAAGAAGGGAGATTATGTGGCGACAAACCTGATAAATTCCACCGTACGCAGGAAGAGCTCCTTTGTGTCCAGGAGCTCGGCGTCGTCCCAAGGTACGTTTTCATTTATGTGCGCCTCCGCCAAATCGCAGTTGCTCTGGATATTTGCGATTTCCAATTCGAGATTCTCTTTGAGCTGAATGAGGCCTCTGAGCTCGCTGCCGAGGTATCGATCGACCTCGTTACGCAGATGTTCCGTGCGGTCTTTCAAAGCCTTGCTCAGCCTCCGATAAATCTCGTCCACCTCTTCGGCCACCGAGGCGCAGTTTGTTTGCAGGCCCAACGTGTTTTTCTCCACCAAGGCCAACGCGTCCTGCAGCCTGTGTAGACCCCGGCGCACCTGCGAAACAGAGTCAAGCGGCTCGAGTTTGACAAACCGGAAATGTAATTCCGCGCTAAGCCTAAGCGCACCCACCATATCGCAACGGCAATATCGATTATGCAAATGGCAAGTGGGCGTAGATAAACACGTCCAATTATCGCTGTTATTAATGTAAATCTAATCACATTATTAATGCCAATTTAGCCGAAAATTTTGGATAGAAAATGCGGAAAGAAAATACGATGAAAAATGAGAGTACAATGTATCATACGCATCCTACGTGTTTAAAATTTTGGATTTATGTATGAGAAAAGCTTGCGTTGCGGACATCTTTCTTAGAGACGGGCAAACGCACTGATGGTTATAGTTAGATTTTATTATAGTTACACTATAACTGTCTTGGCCTAGATATAGAGACCTGAATGAACGCGACGCGAATCCAGTTAGAGCAATAAACAGCTTGAACGTATAAATATCATAGTACGAGACTCTAAACCTTGCAGCTTTCCGTTAGATTTTACATTCTAGCATCATATTTTCATATGTACATATATATGTAAGTCAAATATAATTATATAGATCCGGTATCATCAGCATAGGTCAACGCTGACCCAAATTAATTAAATCTCCCTCTGCAAATAGAATTATAATCTAGAAGAAATTCATTAATGTATTCTGGCTGTAATAAAAAGAGTAAAGTGTGCTGAGAGAGGTGAAGCGTTTTTATGTGTTTCGCGGTTGTTTCAAGTCAATGAGTCATTTTTTACGGAAAATCACTATGTAACCTAAAACATGAAAGTTAAAACACGTATACATAATTTTTCATTCGAATCTTTCACCAATTCACTGTAAAAAATCATGTATCTAAAATAGTAATCTGAAGTGACATTCTTTAGATTCAAATTATCGAAAAATGAAGCCGATGTATGATTTCTCATAATATTTGTTAATGTTACACATTTATGGCGTAAACAATATTTGCTCTGTATACAGCGAGGATCCATCAAAATTCATAGAAGACATCCTGAAGGTGCACAATGAATATCGAGCTATTCACGGTTCACCGCTGTTGCGAATAGATGAGAAGGTGGGTTGTCGCCGTTTTATCTGCTGTGAATTGTTAGTTCAAGAATTCTACGGAATCCGCGGCTCACGGATTCAGCACGTTTATAATTTATATATTTTGCGATAAATATATGAACAATGCGCTAAGAGAAAAAAAGACAGTTATTGTATTCCACATAATGTACCGTCTATATTTAAAATTGTAGTTGAACGAGCGTGCTCAGCAGTTGGCGAAGAGCTTATCGAAAAAGAGAGAAGAAGAAGTATTCGAGGAAGCTATACCGTACGGCGAGAATATATACGTTAGTTTTGCCAGAGATCTAAATTGGAAAATGCAGCCCGAAGAGCCGGTGCAATATTGGTTAGAATTTTATGCAACAGATATTGACACGTAGATGGAAAGTAAAACAGAAACCACATGGCATTAAGTCGTTATAATATACGTACACAATAATAAACAACGACAATCCGCGGGAAAAATATGATAGAGAAAAAACATTAACAGGAGAAAGCTGTGTGTTGTGCAATTATTTTACTTACTGAAAATTTCTCATTTTATAAAATTTTTAAATAAAAATTAACGATTAATATTTCTCTGGTGAAAATATCCTTAAAAAAATTATTCCTTGTCAAAGTGTTAAAAGGCCAGAATTGCTTTGTTTCCGAGATATTTGATTCATTCGTTGTATCGGTATGCAGGTACGAAGAGAGCAGGTATTACAATTACGACGCACCACGACCGAGAAATGTGAAGCACGTGCGTAATTTCACTCAATTGGTATGGAAAGACTCGAAATTAATGGGTAGTGCCATTGTCACTGATTCGAGTGGAAAGGTTTATCTCGTGTGCAGCTACGATCCGGCCGCAAATATCGATGGCAACTTCCAACGTAACGTAGCGCCGCCCAGAGAAGTAAGAATTAGTAAAAACTTTTTCGACAATAAATTTTACCAAACAATAAATATCAATTCAAACACGCGTGTACAATATATAACATGATAAACTTAAAAATTGTCATGATAATTATCAAAAGAAGCAAAACGAACACGGCAAGAGAACATAACCATGATTTAAATATTTTTATATTATATTTTTATTTGATATATTATAACTTATATTATGCACGCGATGTTATTTACAAGTTTCTAATACTGCTGAATATTGTGTATCGACTTTCGTTGCGCGTTCTGGGACATGGAGGAAAAAATTTGTGTATAAATTGAATATCATTATATCCCTTTTGGTTGCGCCGTATGATAGGAGGAGCGAAATCGTGCTCGGTTTACAGAATGAGAATCCGGGGAATCGTAGGGGGTTTTATTATTCTGCCGAGAGTCCGAGAAAAATGCCATGGAACATAAATGCAGTCACTGAGAGTATCACGGTGCATTAGCATCGTAATTTCTTATGCCGCGGTAAAGCCGAGACGCAACGAGGTGATTTTACCACGTGCTTTCGAACATTTATTTCACCTTTCAACAAGGCCGCTTTCACACTTCCCGAAACGCGGAGAGACGTTGTTTTTAAGCAAAATTTTACAGCCTGTCAAGCGGCGCTGAAATTTGATTGCATAAATCGATTAAATTGCGAACGATTAAAATAAACAAATCAAATTTTTTGACCAGCAAATTGCGCGCGTGAGACGAGAGCACGTATGCGAGAATTTGTTGCTCTCTCGCAGCGGTAATCGATGAAATTTCCCAAAGGAAATTGCAGAATAGAAATTGTATTAATAGCTTGAATCATATATGGTTTTGGAGGAAGAATTATTTGATACAGAAATACTTTTAGGCGGAAAATTATTTGATACGAAAACACGCAGTGTGTGTAGAATAAACTATCCTCAAAATATCCGATGTATTGTGCGAGCGGTGAACGCAATTTTACGAAGTGTTATTCTGTAAATGGAACATTACGCGAGTCTTTTTCAAATTGATTAAATCGAGTACTATTAAAATAAATCAAACGAGCTTTTTAAAAGAGGATTATTTTACACGTTATTTCCGCGAAATAAATGAGTCCCAGTTTGTTTCCTATGCGAATTTGGAAATAATTATTCTTTATCGCTTTTTATGTCACGAGACACGCACATTTTTACGATATTCAGTGATATTTGTTAAATCGATGGCAATTAAAATTAATTAAAGCTGGTCATTTTACGCAGTTCGCAGTGTACTTATTTTGCCGCGTAAATTTCCAAGTGCAATCGCGTGTCCACACGATAATGAGATTCGGCGCGCTATAGCAGCAGACGGCGCGGCTGAAAGCCTCGCGACACGGAAATTCGGTTGTTAACTAATTAATTAGGGCCGGTAAAATTCCCAACGCGCCGCGCCGAGCTCACTGATTTATTAGTCGCTTTTGAAAAGATTCACGGCGTCGGAATTTTGCTCATTAACTAATTAGATCATGTACAAGCGGGCGCGGAAATGCGGCACACGAATGGCTGCGTAAAAAGTATGAAACTTGCACTTTTTTCTGTGTTTCTTCTCTGTAACAGTAAATAAATTTGTGTAATTAAAAATCGGGAAGCCGACGTGCCAGGCGTCCTAGATTTCTGCCTTTCATCTACGTATTCTATGACCAATTTGCAGGCAATTCCTTTCTTTAGGAAAAATTTAATTACGCGGCAGTTAGTGTAATTTTTTTAATATTCAACATCGAAATGCTTCTTTTTCGGGGCAGAATTTGTAATTAAAATTTTGTCAAACAAAAGTAGATATATATTTAATACATTTTTAATTTAAAATAACCGAGAAGACATTTTCGCAAAAGATAAAACACATGAGCTCTTTCATAATGCTTCTTTGTTATCTGCGTTATTCTATCAACTATCGCATTCGAATTGCGCTGAATAGCCGAGAGATGAAATGAAATATGAATGGCGATCGGCATTGATTCCCGGTCGAATGGGAAAAGCGAGCGCCGGCACATATTTCAGGCACGCGCACGCAATTCCCGCGGCGCAAAAGGAAGACAGATTCGACACAGTCGTGTTAACAACTTTGATCGCCGAGCCGCGTTCGCGATTTTGCACGACTTACACGCGCAATCCTGCTTGTCGATACGTGATCTTAGTATCTCTGGACTGTCTCAAAAACGATCCAACCTCGAAGTTTATTCCGCTCGGAAATAGACGTGATTCATCGAAGTACTTCTGGCGACATACGGCGGACTCGCGTGATTCATTTTGTTCGATGCATTCAATCTGTCTTACAAAACTCTTCGTATAAAGCATCGTAATCCTGACGATAAGTTTTTCCGACGACAAGACGATTACAGCTTTCTTCTTTGATTTGATTAAATGATAATTTTGAAAAGTAATATAATTCCATTTCGATCAAATTTAAAAGAATTCTTAAGATTATTGTTCAATTGACTGTATTGTACAAACGATATTTTGACTTGTAAAATATTTAAAATCAAAATTTGTGCAATTCTGCGCAATTTTGCAATTCACTGGAATGTAAGTTTGTCGAATCTTCTTATTTAATTATTGATCTAGAATCTCATCTCGCGCTTAATCGATATTCATGTCGCGTTATCGGCGGATTCAACTAATAGCTTCATATTGCACGCCTGCACGTTTCGTGGAACATGAAAAATCTAGGATGCAATCCTGTTTCAACGTACGTTCCTATCGTGCACGGTTAATTGCAATGCGCGAAGTTGCGCGGCAATAAATTTTCCGTCAGGACGCCGAAGGGCACAACGTAACGAATTTAAAGTACATCCCGATACACCGGGATGCCGTAACACAACACAGTTTCCCCTTTCCTAAACACGTTATAACGTCTACTGGCAAGCCAAAGAGAAAATTAGTTATGCAACGGGTTAAATTGGTTTCCGCGATCGGTAGCGAAATTTCTCGCACCAAGCTTGCTTATTGAATATAAGATGTGAAAACTTGATTGATATCCGCATTTATTCGCCTGCACACACATTGGAAATCGTACAATTCACTTTTCACAATGCACACGGTCGCTGCATTAACTGCGATTCGCGTGATGTCGATTATCCGGTAATTGTCTAATTAATTAATTTTTCCGACAACTCAATTTCTCATTTTGAATTGCAATTCGATTTTTTATTATCGCTTTCTTAGTTTTCTTTTTGCGATTTTTCAAATTTGTAATTATGTAAAACATCTTAAATACTGTACCTGGGAGTTGATGCGCGCAATTTCACGCCTCAAAATATCCATGTGCGCATCCTTGCACTCGGGGCAGCACTTCTTCTCGCAGTGGACGCATAACGAGCAGTAGCTCTTCTCGGAGCAAACGCCACAGCGTTCCATGGTCTGGCCGCTGGTCGGGTCCGGCAATTCCCCCGTGATCTCGATATGCAATTCCAGGAATCGTTGCAGTGTCACGTTGGTCGGAAAAGCTTGCACGCCCTACAAATACCCGCGTATATATGATCAGCTCGATTAACGTTCGTAATGTACCGAGTACGCCGCTTATTAATGAACCGGAATCGCTGCAATGCGCGAATAATAGTGCGAATTAATTATACAGCGCACGTTTGACATTCCTTTATCATCCATTATCTGAATGGATGTATTCTTTGAATGTAATGTATATTAACTGTCGTCACTATGGAACGCGTTATTATCGCTTAACAATCCGACATGTTTTCAATATTTTTCGATTTCCTCTCAAAACACAGCCGGACAATTTGTTATGCGATGACAGCGGCCGAAAACATTTTCGAATTCCGGCGCTGCTTGATGTCGATTATTCCGAAAAAAACAGATCAGCCGAATTGTTCGAAGACAGCTCGAAGCTCGAGAATACACTCGGTTTAACGAGAGTCCTCTCCTGTGTTTGAATCATTGAATAAAGATGAGCTTACACGTAGCTCCACGTCGTTCGACGTGCACAGGAAAACATTTAGGTAGCTGGCGCGGTAAAATATGGAGCAATTTTTTTGCTGTTCTCATTATTACCCGGCTGTACCGCAAACATATCAAAGAAATAAACGTGATAAGACGGCACATAATTGCCGGCGAACCGCGCGGTTTCACGACAAACGACTTGCGACAGCTGTGCGTAAATGCGTTCCATATATTGTATCTATATTTCGCGCGAGAAGAAGTTATTTTCACGAGAAGTTGTTTTCCGTTAAATATACATTTATTTCTCATTAAAAATGTGAAAGATATTTTTAACTTAATGTGCGATTATATTCGGATCGAGAGATAATTAATATCTAAATGCTTCATGACATTTTTTTGAAATTATCTTAAATATTTTAAACAATTTGTATTGCGCTATTATGTTTGAAAAAGGTAGAAATCGATTTAGAGTAGTAGAAGTCGATGGCGACTTACTTGATACGGTATACGGTGTTCGGCCCGGCATTCTGGACATTTGACCTGTCGACGAACATAATCGACGAGGCCGTCCATGCACGGCTCCATGCAAAAGCTGTGTTGACATGGTAAGAGCTTCGGATTTCTGTATCGGTCCAGGCATATTGCGCAAGTTAGCAGCTGCTCGAACTGCTCCATGCCTATAAAAAAAGAAAACGCATTCTCCATTTTTCTGTTTTATTGTTATGTTCATCATAAAACAGAACAAGTTATCTGATCTCTTTATACTCGATTCTTTAACAATGTCTTTTTTTATATATTTTTTTTAGTATTAACATATAAATATTTTCCTACGTATAATAAAAATATAAAAAATTTAATATAAATATGTAATAAGTCATTTTGGATAAAAAATTATTAAATACAATAAACTTTTCTTTTTTAAATTTATTTCTTTTATTTCAATTTTTTTATAATTCTACGTTCTATTTATAGTCTTAGAAATATATTTAAATATATTTAAATTAATATTCTAAATATATGTATATTTAAATATATATAAATTATATTCTATTTTATTAAATAGGAAACAAATAATAATCTTATATTTCATAGAAAGTCCAACGTGTGCCAAAAGAAGCGGTGACAAACATTTAATGTATATTCTTTTTTAATGTGTCTCAATATCTTGCGTCATTCAAACTATCGTCATAGTTAATAAATAGATGTGAAATGTCGACTCCAGCGGTCATCAAGTTTCAAGTTTGAACACTGCCAAAATCTTATTCATACAGCCACGTGTTAAGTCATTAAAGAAACAACAGTTGGCGTTTGCTTGGATAGTGTTCTTGCATCAATCTTATGATTAAATCGATATTTATACATTCATAATAAATAGTTCATACTAGAACTAGTAAAACAATACATAATTTGTACCAGAAGCTACAAAAAAAGCGAAAAAGCAGAGAATATTGATATACATAATATTTTTATCAATTTTGTAAGAGAAAAAACGAAACATAAAACACATAACATAACAAAAATAATAATTTTCATGAAGTGAACGAGAGAATCGGTACAGCGAATTAAATATTAACGTAAAAATCTTTTAAAGAAAAGTATCAGGATTTGTTTCTATTTAAAACGGTAGGATAAACGGTGTGAAATTAAACGATATAATAAATCTCAATTCCCCGAAATCAGCTATCCCGTCCAAGACATATTGTCCCTTCTTCCCTATATATTTACCGGTCGGAAACAACTAAATTATGTCTCCGTGTTTTCTGATATAATTTCTCGAGCCTTTGTCTTCGGCTTTCGTTCGTTTACTTGATCCAGCGATTTACATTTACATTTTCATCGATATATACATGTATTCGATCAGCCAAATCCCTCGTTCGAACTAACGTGTTTCCGACTACAATTTTAAATACTATCAGTTAAAAATTACTTTATTAATAACGAGATCCGACCAATCTACATACTATAAATTTTATTTGAATAATTAATTCATCACACTAATGAGCAATTGAGCATATAATTAAATGACGAAATCCACGTTTTAACTCTCGTAATCAGAAAAATTTCGCGATTTTTTTTTTTAAAGACAAACGTAATGTATACCGCGAATGCCAAGACAATGTCAAGATCTTCGCGGAGTCATTGCACTTCTATTTTAAGACACGATGTATCATAGGAGTAAATTTGGTAGTAAAGAGATAGGTGAACGCAAAGGGCAATCTTCTAAACTTATTGCGCTGCAAATAATTAAACTCGTACTTTTTTCCTTGTAATTGTGGATGACAGTCGAATGCATAGCTGATCAAGTTTTTCCGCATAATTTCAGAGCATCTTATTTCAATTTTGTCAGATTGCTAGCAATATTTTATTTCAGCGCAAAAACTTTTGATGATCTTTTTCAATGTTTGATGGATAAAAATAAAAATTACAGAACTAGATAATTATAAAAATTATATTTTAGATATTTATTTTAGTAAAATTTTTCTCATTATAACTTAATTCAATCAAAATTATAATGAATTGTATAATTAAACTACGATACGCTTGAAAACACTGCGATAACACAACGTTAAATGTGTTATATGGCTAATTACTGAAATCCATCTAGTGCGGAAATAGTTTCGTGAAATCTAATCGCCATGCTTAATAGTATTAGACTGTGATATATTACTGGCAGGGGTTACAACGTACAAATTGAAACGAGTAGTATTGCAGATCGAAAACCGCGGCAACCGTAATAATTATTTGAACGTCGCTAATGAGTGGATGATTACCCATGCAATCCACGAATTAATTATCGCGCTTACACGAGGCGTGTAGAAGACGAGATAATCTCGATTAACGCGAAGAGTGTTTTATTTAGCGTATGTTCAGCAAAAATTGCATTTGTAATATTATATCCTATATTTAATACAGATTTAATTTCAGAGTTTTCGAACAAATTTATAAAGCAACCATAAAACAAATTCATAAACCAACAATAAAGACCCACTAAAAATATAAATCGTAGTCCGTTTGTACGGTGTTTAAATTCTACTATAAATAGGAACATCGCCAAATGTTTTGACTCGTTTCAGATTTTTTTTATAAATAATAATTTAATATATTGTGTTAAAAAATAAATGCATGTCTTATCGCAAATTTAACTGCGCACTAGACATTATTAGTATAGAAATAATATAGGAATAAAACAGACAATGCACACACAAAGACACTTAAATGTACACTGGCAAAAATGTGGAAATTTTCTCTGGAAAATTTTTCATGACGTAAATAAAGCGAAATCCTTTGTCATAATTTTATTTTAACTAGAACATAACATTGCGCGCGCAATTTAGCATCAAAAATATCAAATATAACATAAAAAGAAAATATAACTGATTAACATCAAATTTAAAATTTATTATGTTTCACCACATTTAATTCAATGATCCTTACGTTAACGGTTACATCTATGTAATTATCGGCAAATAGCGGCAATAAGAGAAATGAATTAATTATTAAATTTATGTAAGAATTTAGCACGGTTTTTTATAGCAATCATCTTTTCAATATCAATTGATTAACATTTTAAATTATTTCTTTGTTTAAAATATAAGATTTCAATGCATCGCAGTGAAGTCTTATGACTCAACATTTTCCTCTTTCCCTTTTATATACTGCAGCGCTCGGAATTAGTTGCACATTTCGGGCCGATTCTGGAGACGACGCCTCCTGTCCCTCCACTACCGGCCGGCCGCTGGCGGCCGAGCCGCCGATAGCTCTGGTTCAGGAGCGTTTTATATTAGAAATAGGCTGGATTGTTTAGGCATTTCTCAGGAAATCGTAACATTTTCTTCACTACATAAATAATGTTTATTTTCATTAATACATAATATATATATTTAATTATTAATGAAAATAAACATTACTTATGTAGCAAAGAAAATATTACTATTTTTTGAGAGGTGCCTCAACAACCGAGCCTATTTCTTATAGAAAACGCTCCTGCGTCAGAGCTATCGGCGGCTCGACCGCCAGCGGCCGGGCGGTAGTGGGGGGACAGGAGGCGTCGTCTCTTGAATTGGCCCGAAATGTGCAACTAATTCCGAGCGCTGATATACTGCAATGATAAAAATATTAAATTTGCAGTTCTTCTATGAAATGTTTCACAATTATTTAATACTATAAAATTATTTGTAATTTACTATTTAATTCTGTATGAAATTTATTTAATTTAACTTGCAATAAAATAAATTTATTCGATTTAATTTTAAAAGTTTAGAATTTAAAAGTGTAACGTGTGACATTGAAAATCTGAGAGTTCTATATAAACTCTAAGAGTCTCATCATCTCTTTTTCTGGTACGGAAATACTCGATCAATGTCGATTCTAATTCCATGAGAGCTTATTTCAGATCTGGTCTCCTCATAAAACATTCGGCATTTTGTCGTCTCAACGTAAATATTCGTCCTTCACTAAGATAATGTCCGGGTTCCTGCTAATAAAAATCATAAGCCTATATTACAATTTTGAGATATTTTAACGGAAGTAAAAAATTCAAAATTTGTCACACAATTGAGTTAGTTTTATCGATCTTTCAATACTTATAATTATTTGTAAACTGTATTAATTCCTATATTAAGTTTTAATGTCTAAAAAGAACGAACGAGAAAGGGAAAAAATGAGATTTATCTCACAGAAGTTAAATACGTTTACAAATACACATACTTTGTGATAAATTAGTAATTCCCTCGCGTAGGTTTTATATTCTGCAAATTAAACTCGTTTGTATATGTATGTTACATTACATATTCACATCACTTTGATCATATATTTTGTAATTAACTTTAATTAAGAGTAAATGAAAAATGTATAAATTTTAATGGCACTCCTCTGCGACCGATTGAACGATCGTGACGTAAAGAACTCCGCGATGCTCTTCGCAAACGCGGAGTTTCGATGGCGGATAAATTTAAATAACGTTGAATACACCCAGAAACACACACACGCGTACACGTCGATATCGCGTGTGGAGCGCTCAAAGAGATCGCTCGGAGCGTTAGCGGATATGTAGCCAGGAGCCGAGCCAAATTCGTTTTGGCTTTCATAAGTTTCTCAGCGCTGACGTTGCTGACGTCGAAGGTCGCCGCGCGTCGAGGACCGATCGCGCTTCCGAGCCGACACAATGGCAAAAGCTAGTACATTAGGAAGCATTGTTACTGTTAGACGAACCACTTGTTGGATCTTAAAGCGAACTCTCCCTCTCCCACACTCTCTTTCTTCCTCCGCCGTGTGCGCGACGAAGGGGGTGCAACAGGCGACGAGCAAGGATTGTATTAGCAACTTTCATGGGCGTTGCCATGAGGATGAAACGGGATGCTAATTCTGACACTTTGACTGCGAGTCTAGAAACTTCAGCGAGCGAGCGCTCCCCGCGAGAGATGTTCGCCTACATTATTTAAGTTCTCGTTTTCGCCGGGCTTTAATTGCACGACCATATTTCGTGGGGGATCATGAAGGACTTTCTGGTCCCTCGAAAGAGCTTTTAGCGCGGCCAAATAATTCGAGAAGTAAAGTTTTCATGGGAAAATACCATGAATAATACCATGAATGCGTTAATGATTTGTCACGTCAATGATGTGTCCGCGTGAGATTCTTTGCTGGTGATGATAACAGCGATCACGACAAAGAAATGCCTTTGCTGTTACACATTATTATTTTAATCATCAAACCACAATATCTAGCTTTGTCATCATTTAGAAAATTAATTTGCAAAATATGTACATATATATGTTAATTATATACGATCAAACGCATTGAATAAGTGCAATACAATAAGGCAATGACAATTTTTGATACGTGATATCATGTTAATTGACGACCCACTTTTTCCTCGTTTGAAGCGCACGTCGCATTATGCGGATTCGGAAATTCCAAGTGTCATGCATTCGCGAAACGCGGCTGCACGTGGCGCATCATTATTCTCGCGAAGCAAAATAAACAGCGTCGCGAATGATTCAGCCTTTTCCTTTGTCCGTGCGCGGCAGAATTTGCGGGCGTCATTTCGAAAAGGGAGGTATTGCAAGCTCTCTTTTCTCGTCTAATACATTCCCAAGAGATGTATGGTGTACTTGAACACGAAGATTTTATGGAAATCTAAATTTATCATTTATTACCGCGAAATGCTCGCGAAATAACGCAGTATATTTGTATTTTGCATTTCTCTCGTTTAATTTTGATTTTACCTCTATAACATATTTTTATTAACTTGTATAATCAAATTGCATATGCTGTTGTTCATTAAAGTTTACAGAAGTAATTAATTAATTTTAGAGAATCTAATAATATATTGATTGTTAAATTAAATAACACGTTATTAATATAGAAAAGCCGCTGATATAATTATAAACTTATTTTTATTATTAAAATAAATTAATGTGAAATTAGTTCACAAAAATACTGTTCGAATTTTTAACGTGATATACACAAAAAAAGTCTGCTAAAAATGAAATTGAATTCGAAATAAGATTGAAAATTTGTGAATTGATAGTGATTTTCTCGATATATGTAGATGTGTAATTAATGAATGTGTAATTAATGAATGTGTATGTATATAATCTTGAGTTACCATGGTCAAATATTGCGGTCCACCATTCGCTAATCTAATGACCGATCTAGATCCTGAATGATCGCGGGAATCTACCATGCACCTGCCGTCTAATCAACGAATCCTAAATTGCTCATAGAGCGACAGGCATGTCGAATAATTTCTCCGCCGCGGTGCACAGCGTGTAATTTGTGTAGCGACTAATGTAATGTCTCGTAAACCCAAGTGCGCTCGCGCTGATGCAAACGAAGAAGATAAATCTCCCTAATTTCATTCGAGCAGACTGTGACACATCGTATAGCTCCGCATTTTGCAATCAACTGACATACGTGCTAGAATTTCTATCAAGTTATTCCAATTAAATACACTTCTAGCACTAAAAACATCTTCGCTTTAATACTCGAACGCAAAAAAAGTCTTCTCCCGCTTTTATAATTAAAAATTTCTCTCCGCTTGCTTATTTTCCGGAACCAATATTTCCATGATATTTCTGTCCCGTGTAAACAATTCTCATTGTTGTCTCATGACAATGAAACTTGTTAACTTGATTTTAAAAACAGAGCCAAAAATAGAGTCTGCATCTACCGATTGAGATAAAATCTTTTTTCTATTTTTAACGCGACACAAAAGATTTTTCACAAATAAAATTTTTAATGAAAAACTAATTAAAAAAAAGTGAATAAGATTTAAATACCCATTCGAATCCGGTCGTCGGAAGCGCGAACGTTATCCGAGTTTCACTTTCACAATTCGGTAGCGAGACACCCTCGTTGACGATCCGCAGATGCGTTATGGACTGATCGCGAGTTCGATCTACGCACTCGTTCCACTCGCGGCTCGCACGTTATCGATCATTCATCCACGTGTCGCGATTGGCGCCAGCGACAATGACAATGCTTAAAATATTTGGCACAACGTCGCGTACAAAAGATCGCTTGCGACGATACTGATCGCGAGAACTCTATTGAGAGCGTTCTGGATCGTCGCGCTTCTGGAATCGGTCGGTCCCCACGAGATCCCGTATACTGACACTTCCCGACGTCACCGGCCAGACTTATGCTCACGCGGTGCGAGCTATACTTAGCCGGGAGGACCTTCGATTTCCGGCGGTTTGTTTTCAGCGAACAATCTTCGGTGGAAAGCGCACAAAACACACAGAGCCAGCGCACAGATTATAGTCGGGAAATTTCGAACGTGTCATCCTTTCCCGCAATTTGCATCTTACCCGTAATTTGCATCTTATTGGAAGCGTTTTCTTAAATGCAACCGTCAACTCTTATTGTATTCTAAGTGAAACATTTAAATTCGGAGTATGATAACGTTTTTTTTTTTTTCAAGCAAATATCTATATATTTATATAGCATCTATGAAGAACTTCACAAAGGAATTTTGTTAAAGTAAAAAGCACTGATATGCTGATACTGTAATAAGTCCATTCGTCCTTTTATAGAAACAAAATGACATGATAAGCGTAACGAAAAACGTTTAATAATCGCTCCTGTTTAATGTCGGCATTAATTTGCATTCTGTAGAGGCGGTTTGGCGGAAATTCCTATTCAGTCTGCTCGGCCAGCTACATAGCTGCAGTGAACAATATTGCGCCAAATGGCGCAAGTGTGTCAGTACATAGTTATTTTCTTATATCAATATATAAATATACAGCTACGTGAAAGAAATTGTAAACAACCAAACATTGTCCGTTTAACCGTTAGATATATTTTTCTCTGATATTCAGCGACGAGACATTGCATCTCTTTTATATACAAAAAATTTCCCCCAAATTCTAACAAAGCTCATAACGACGAATAACCAAATGTCGAAAAAGCTACTTTCAATTACAATCTAATAATATAATTTAACGCAGAAGAATAAGAATATAATTAACGAGCTTAGTGCTCGTTACAGCTCGAGCATCGAACTCGCTTTTTTTCAGGCACAAAAAATTAATATTAAACCCTTTATATCCTTTGTTGCTTTTTTTCACGGTTCAGTTCAAGTAATCAGCTGGAGATTTCGTGAAGAAAAAAAAAAAAAAAAAACGTCAATAGGAAATTGGACTTTTTGTCGGTCGTTTTCTATTTGCACGCATGGATTGGACGAAACTATCAAATCGTGTACATAGAAAACTACATTGACAAAAAACATTCAGCAATGAGAGATCGTATATATGTATCTCTTTTATTTCCAAAAAATTTCCCTCAAATTCTCATATCGCATAAATCTCATAACGACGGATATAATTAAATACTGAGAAAAACATTTTGCAGTAATAGCTCTCATTTTATTGCAATCCAATAATCTAAACGCAAAAAAGTAAGCGCAAGGTATAATTGAAAGAATCAGTGGAGCACCTAGTTTGCTTTTCTAAGCACAAAAAGTCTACGTTAAAATTAACAAAATAAAATTTAAACTAAATTTAGTGTTTCAGAAAGCAGACTAGATCAATGCTGCGCTTTTTAATTGCAAACAAGGAAGGTGGATCGTCGATCTGAAACCCATGTTCGTGCGTGAAATAGCGGTCGACCACCACGATGCTCGGCTATATTTAGCCCCCGCACATTATCCGGCACAGCTTATTTTCAACGCGATCTCAGAATAGTGCTGCGGCGAAGCGGTTTATCGACCAGAGCTTTTCTCACGCTGGCAAGACAGTTTTCTGCAATCGGAATTATCCAAGCTTGTAAGCTCCTGTCGTAAGCCCCATCCTGCGAATTTAACGAGTCGATAACTAGAGTTTTGCGTGCCAGAAGGTGGCACTCCCACATGATGCGTTTTTCGTCGCATTTTTCCTTCGCAATGCATTTACGTTTTATGTTCGTTCTAAAAGCATTCCTCACATTCGTTCTATCTGGCTCGTGTCCTACGTAAAATAGAGTTTCTGATGCCTATCTCGCCTTCTTGGCTTCGCGCTCAAAATGCTAACAGATGCAGCTTCATATGTTCAAGGTTTCTATTCAAGATTATATCGCTTTCCCTAACATTAAACAAAATTTCTAGAAAGTATCAGATGTATAGATTATCTCACTAAAATAGCATAAAGTAAATAAATACAGATCTTTTTTTTTTTTAAGATTTTTCGCCTCTGAAGAAAATTAGAATTTAAAAATGAACATATATCATCTCGGAACGCATCACAGAGAGAAGTTTCTTGCAAACTCGGATGACGGCATTTCAATGTAATTAAGTTGAATATAAGTTAGAAGCGCACTGATATGTAAAGTTAAAAATTCGCGTTCGTCAAAAGAGAGAAAGTAGCGACTATGGAGTTTTTAACACATTCTGGTTTCATATTCATCATGAATCCGTTTCGCTGATTCTCTAAGTTTTTCTGAATCTTCTGCATTTAAGCTTGGCGACTTCTGCCGACAGTCTTGCACTATCTAAATCTTCTTTCTTACTGCAGTGACGCAACGAGGTTTTCTCCAGAGTGCATTCGACCTATATGTTATATTTTCTCAGTCCAAGATTTTACGAAATTGCAGCAGTCATCACTTACATGCATTTTTAGAACGATAAAATCGTACAAACAATTCCGCGTTTTCACGCATCACTATTTATATCATCATCGTTTATCGGAGCTTCGTTTATCGCCCATATTATCGCTCTTTTAATTTAATTTCTGAAACCATTGAAGAATGATGGACGATAAACGCGCCCGAGAAATTGTTGATTTATCGTTTATTTTTTACTCCGTCTTGCTGTTCTTAACTTTCTCATCAAGCTTCGATTTTGCGCTCCCCGTTTCTTGCCAGTGACGTAAAGTGTTTTTGCGTCACCTCGTTTTATTTCCCATGCAGAACTTTCGGTTTTTCTTAACAAGTAAACTCTTCCGGTATACCGATTCTAATTACTCCGGTGATCCGCATTGTCTCGTTTTTCAGTGTGCGATACACACACCGTGCCGGTGACATGTAGTACCCTAAGTGCCTCCATGTTTACCGCGGGTTCGTCCCCAATAATTAGATTCTCGCGAAACTTTCAGTCTAGATGCTCCGCCTTTATTATTCTACGACGCAAAGTAGAATTTTCGACAGAAGTCAGCTGCCATTCCATAATACCGGAGTTAACATTTAATTAATAATTCAGGAAGTGCACTTTACGATATTGAGATTGTCATTTCGAGCAAATTGTAAAACATAAGAGCCTCATTGTAACTTTGACTTCTCAGAAGTTTATTAACTGTGTCATTACTCGACCGTTCTGGAAATGCACGTTCGAATACTTCAAAAATAATTGGGTGTAATAATCGCAGATACAAGAAAGTCCACGTTGAAGATATTGAATAAATTAAAGTATTGTAGAATTAAAAAACTGACGAATGAAAAATAAGATATCTGTTTTATAAAAGTTCAAAAAAACAAGAAGATGAATAAAGTATCCCATAAATGAAAATTTTAAGTAAAAGTACAAAGTGCGATTTATGGTTTAAATCTCCACATTTCCATCTCTCGACTGTTCGGGGAGCAAAGTGCGGCAGAAAACATAATAAAAAAAAAATCTCCAAGCTCTCGGCTATCTCAAAGCTGCCGCGATGCGCCGTGGATTCACAATCAAGTGCCCGCGGATGCGTGGATAAAGTTATATTATTGCGGTGGCAGTCCGGCGGGGAAAAACGGGCGTTATCGAGAAGTGGAAACTTGCGGAAACCGATTAAAAAGTTTGAAAAGCCGCTGGATTGCACTGAGTGGACGCGCGAGACGACGAGTAACGGACGGAATTTTACACGGCTTGATTAATATAAATTAATTACAGCGACGGAAATGAGACGTCGAAGAGAGACGCTCGAACGATGGTCTTTTCGGATTCAAATCGTTGGAAATAAGCCGATCGATCGCATTTAATTAAATGCAATACCCGGATTAAAGCAGTCCTGCTTGATGCCGGAAATCTTTCTGTTATGCAAACGCGAGAAACTTTATTGCATGCGGTGAATCGTTTCGTTTTAATAATTTAAAATAGCGACAAACCGAATAATAGAATATTATAACACACATTCACGCCCCGATAATCTCCAACGTGAAGCACTGCAATCCGGAACTCGCAACTCATATAAGGCGCCGATACATAATGCATAGAGCCCACCTCGCGCTTTCCTTATGCGATTTATTATTTATCGCCAAACGAATTAATTATTTACATGCGGCATCGAGACGTTTTAATATTTGAATACGCGGAATCAAGAGTGTTTCTGTGTGATTTGAATAAGAATGTACGAGATGCAGATGACGGTGGATCCGTGCGCGGAATATATAACGCATAAAGTAATAAAAGAATGTAATAAGAGCCCTTCTATCTCGACAAGCTAATTTGCAACCATCGTGTGAAACGTCAAAGACAGATCTCTCGTTTAAATTTGAAACAAAAGCTCTCATAAATACCGAAAAAAGTCGTCGTCTAGTTCTCAACGTTAAATTCGCCCCGTGAAAAATTTATGCAAAATCATAAAAAATCACTCGTTGTCGAGCGGTTTGGTAATAATGGAGCCCGTGTAATTCGACACAGTTAAACTCGCAATCACAAAGTGTTACTGTTAATTAATAAGATCACATTTGTTAACTGGAGTATTTAACTGGCTTGATGATCGATTTGTTGTGTACAACGTTACGCTTAATCAACCATTAGATTCCGTCGCGTCGCGTTTGTACAGCGAACGGATTTATTTGAAAGAGTTTAAACGGTTTACGATTCCAGAGTTAGCAAAATGTGATTATAGCTGCACTTCAACATATCGCTTTATCCATGCAAATTAATTGATCGGAATTACGCATCGCGTAAATATCATAATGCGAAATATGTTTTAATAAGGATTAAGCAGGATGTTTTAATAAGGATTCGCAATTGTAATTCTAGCGGTATAAAAATGTCACTGTCTAGTTTATTCGTATCATTATGATTATTATGTTGTTATTAGTCAGCGAAGATGGGGACTTCCGATCGTCGATTATCAATTTCTATTACAAATGGATAAATAGAACATGACAAATAGTTGGGATTCGTATGTTGAACT